GACTGGCCCCACGTAGAAGCTTGCTGAACCATTGTTGTCTTCATCATCACAGGTAGTCACACCTGAACGCTGGCCTTGCTCCTCCACCTGTGTTAGCTCAAGAAGTGACTCATTCTTTGTAATGTGGAAGAATGGCCTTGTGTTGTACATTCCTCTTGGTAATGTCCATCGACTCAGCCCACTCTGATAGTCATATGATGAATAACATTACTTGTATTTATATCTCATAACAAGGCCTTTATTTGACCAAAAATGGGTTAGGATATGGAAGAATTGTGTGTGCTCGTACAGGGTCTGGTCCTTTCTTGCCACGTTATTTTGGCAAGTGTGACAAAATAAGAAATATACGATATGTTTGGTCTCTGCCCCGAGTTCCTGACACAGCTCCTCAAACCCTTGTAATTTCCTGAGTGATAGGGTTGCTGGGAGCATCTTTTGTTACCACACTGGTCTTAGACCTGAGGCAGGAGCTACTGAGGCCCTTGGCAGCTTGGGAGTGATGAGTGCCTTTTGTCTGCTAACAGACGCTTGGTGGCCTCAGCATGGGGGATGGTCACCAGAAAGACTCCACTATGGTTAGGAGCTTGAGGCTTTCGGCACTGGAAATTGAGTTAGTCATCAGTCACATCCACATGATGGTGGAGGCTTGTGAAAGTCCCTCAGCTGTGGGGTTTGGAGTTGTCCAGGCTGGTGAGCTGACCCACACGCTGGGAGAGGGTGTCTCACCCCAAACCCTGCAGGGACAGACTCCGGCGCTCAGGACCGTTCTGGACCTCGCCTTCTGTGCCTTTCCATCTGGTTATTCATGCATATCTTCATTTTACTGTTTGTAACAAACTGGAAAATGTAAGTGTTTCTCGGAGGTCTCTGAGTTGTTTTAGCAGATTATGGAACCTGAGGAAAGGTTGAAGAAACCCTTGAGTTATACCCGGTCGGCGAGAAGCGCAGGTGACAGCCTGGGGCTTGTGACTGGCGTCCAGCTGGGAGCAGGTTTGCTGGAGCGAGCCCTTGACCTGCGGGGTCTGCTCTGGGAGCAGTTAGTGATGGAAGTGAGTTAAATTGCAGGACACCCAGTGTGCGCCCAGCAGAGTTGGAGAATTGCTTGGTGTGGAAAACCCCACACATCTGGTCTCAGAAGCATTGTGAAGTAGAGAAAGGAACAGAGTTTGCCCTTTGGCAAGTCAGAGTGTTCTCCGGGGGTTAGTTTCTTATCTGTAAAACTGAGATCGCATCTTTCCATGCTTATGTGAAATAGGGCCCTGAGGGATGCAGGGTGAGGTTCACGCCCTTCACCGTTGGGTACTAGAGTTTTGCAGTGGCGCTCCAGCCCCATCAGACCTTCCGCCTTCCTCCTTGGCCCTGGGCTCCCGCCCCAGCCTCCCAGGGGGCACTTGGAGCTTGAGCCCTGCTGGACCCTTTGAGGTTCCCTAAGCAAGTCAGGAGCTCCCCACTGCGTCTTGCTTCCCCCATCTCCCCTTCGGGGTTCTCCCAGATGTCATCACTTCTGTGTGTGTTGCCCACCACCACCCAGCAGTAGTCACTGTCTTTTTAGCTGTGCTTCCGTAACACCGGTACTTGCTTTTGTTACACGATTTTTGTTCTTAATATAATAACCGTCACTTTACACATCTATCCCTGTTATAAAATTTAAGATGTTTTAGGGCAAGGAACCGTTTTATTTATCTTCCAGTCTTGTTAATTTTTTCTCTTTATTATTTCATTTTGCTTCCTATAGGTTTAATTTGCTTCATTTTTCTCCCCTAGACATTTTGAGACAGGTGATTATTTTCAATCCATCTAACATATTCTCCCATCTAACATAGACTTTGTCTATTAAGCTGCTTTCAAAATGCAACTATTACCTGCATTCCCCAAATTTGGATGTGTAGTGTTTTCATTATCATTCTGTTCAAAATATTTCCTAACTTACATTGTTTTCTTTTTTGAAGCAAGTTAATTTGGATGATATTGCTTAATTTCTAAGCATGAGGGTTTTCCTGATGAACTTTTGTTCTTGACTTCCAGCTGAATTCCACTGTGTGCAGAGAATCTATCTACTCTGTGATTTCAGTCTTTTAATTTTTTATTGTGGTAAAATACACATAAAATAAAATTTACATTTTTTTCCAGGCATTAGGTACATTTATATTATTACATTATCTTTCATCTCCAGAACATTTTTTTTTCCCAGACTGAGTCAGAGCAGGTCCATAGTGGTCCCTATGGAAAATAGTGCAGTGATAAATAAGAACACAAGAGTAAACTCTCTGCTTGCAGACTCACAACTGTAAACCCACTTTTGCCCACCCCTAGTTTTCATTCCCTCTCCCAGCCCCGGCGCCCACCGTTCTGCTTTCTTTCCCTGTGGATTTGACTGCTCCAGTGCCTCACGTCACGTGAGGGGAATCGTACAGTAGTGTGTCTTTCTGCTCACGCTGCTTAGCATGATGTCCTCAAGACTCACCCCAGTTGCTGCATGTATCAGAATTTCCTTCCTGTTTAAGGTCGAATTATATTCCATTGTATGTTTACACTGTATCAAAAAGAATAATATACTTAGCAATTAACTTACCCAGGGAAGGGAAAGATTTGTACAGTGAAAACTACAAAACAACACTGAAAGGAATGAAAGAAGACGTAAATGGAAAGACATTCCATGTTCATGAACTGACAGAGTAATATTGTTAACATGTCAGTAATGCCCAGAGCAGTCTACAGGTTCCGTGTGATCCCTGTTAAAGTCCCGCCGATGGGCTTTGTGGACTCTCTTAATCCAGAACACCTGGTCCATTTTTGTTTCATTTAATTATTAATGTATTGGTTTTATGTCTACCATCTTACTGTTTGCTTTCTATTTGACTTTTCTGTGCTGTTCTTTTTTCCCTTGGATTATTTTTCTTATTTTTGTCTGTTAATTTGGTAGTTATTTTTGTCATTTAACGGTTGCACTAGAGGTGAAAACACGCACCTTGGACTCACAGACGTCTGACGACAGTCAGCAGTGCGCCTCGTCCTGGACTCACGCAGGGACGTGAGGACGCGTGGACTCCGCCTCCACTTACCCACGTCCTAACTCGTGTGTTGGGTGTTTTAATCTTTGTGTATTTACACCCGAAGAGCTGATGTGATTCCTTTATAGTGTCGGTATTGATTTAGATTTCCCATGTATTTACCTTTGTGTTGTCCCTCATTGCCCTCTGTATCCTCCGACTTTCATCTGGGTTAATGTTCTATGTCCTTGAAGATTAACCCTGTCTTTTCTTTCTCCTGAAATTGCCTTTATGTTGCCTTCATTTTTTTTTTTATTAAAATTTTGGTTACCTCGATATAAAACTTAAAATTTGACATTTTAGCCGTTTTTAAATGGAGATAGTTTTAATTAGAGTGGTTTTAGAGTCACAGCAGAACTGAATGGAAGGTGCAGTGATTTCTTACCGGCCTCCTGTCCCCCACGTGCATGGCCTCCCCCGAGATCACGCCGGCTTGCCTTTTGGTCATTGAGGGTTAGGGTTTTGTTTCTTCCTATTCTAGGTATTAAGCCCTTATCAGAGTTGTGATTTGCAAACCTTTTCTTCCATTCTGTATGTTGTCTTTTCACATTCTTGATATTGTCCTTTTATATAGAAAACTGTTTAATTTTTACAAAGTCCAGAGAGAAAGAAACATCCATTTGTTTTCTACTTCTTTATGCATTCATGGTTGCTTCCGGTTTGTGCCCTGACTGGAGACTGAGCCTGCAACCTCGCTGTATCGGGACGACGCTCTAACCAACTGAGCTATCTGGCCAAGGTTTTAAAGTGATTTTTAAAAATAGCTTATTTAACTTTTCTAGTTGTTCTCAGCAGGAGGGTAGATCCAGAAGTGAAACCCTCTGTCTTATTTTTGTACCAGCACAGTACTCTGTGCACAGTGGGTACTTAATAAATAGGAGGAGGGGAGGAGAGAACGTGGAGAAAATGCTCCGGAGATAGAGTAGTTTGCAGACATGAGGTGTCCGTTACAGAGAGCACAGAACAAGGGCTGAGTCTTGGCTTCTGGAGCTCGAGTGACCTGGGAATGACTTTGGTTCAGTGTGTCATTTTACCTAGATTGAACAAGGATACTATTTACTGGTAGAATTTTAATTTATGTAAAGCAGGTTACTAGACTAGGACTCAAAAAACGTGTACTGAGCCCTGGCTGGCATAGCTCAGTGGATTGAGCGCGGGCTGTGAACCAAAGCATCGCAGGTTTGATTCCCAGTCAGGGCACATTCCTGGGTTGCAGGCCATGACCCTCAGCAACCACACATTGATGTTTCTCTCTCTCTCTCTCTCTCTCTCTCTCTCTCTCTCTCTCTCCCCCCCCTTCCCTCTCTAAAAAATAAATAAACAAAATCTTAAAACAAAACAAAAAAAAATGTGTACTGGCAAAGCTGAGGAACTGGGTGAAAGAGGTGAAGGGATTAAGAAGTGCACATTGGTTGTTACAGAATAGTTTCCGGGGATGTAAACTGTAGCATTGGGAATGCAGTTAATAACACTGTAATAATTTCGTATGGTGCCAGGTGGGTACTGGAAATATCGGGGGGAAATGACCGCTATGCTGTACACCTGAAGCTAATATAAAATAACATTGAAAGTGAACTGCAATTGGAAAATAAATTGTGTTTATTTGTCCGGTAGCTGATAAAAAGAGGACAATAACAATACTCCTTTACATAGATGAATTGTCTGTTGTAAGGAGAATTTGTGATAATGTAAAGAAAAGTTTCTGGCATTTAGAAAGTGCTCAGTAAATTTTAGCCATTGTTGTTTTCTGCAACTGTAATACTTTTTGTTGACTTTTTGAACCAAACATGCTATTGTATTTGCTGATTGAAGTCCTTCCCCAAAGATAGTCTTTTCCCCAGCGGCGTCTGTGATGACGCTGCATCCCTGCAGGCTGTATTTGCCTGCAGGAGGAGGGAGTGTTTCGTGGGTCACCGCCTGTCGCTCATTTGGTTTTTCTCGTCCTGCTAGGACTCTGGTTAGGAGTAGAATGGGACAACCCTGAGAGGGGCAAGCACGATGGAAGCCACGAAGGGACTGTGTATTTTAAATGCAGGTAATTTTTCATTATGCATTGGTGTGGTTGTTTAGGATAGCCTTTAACATTTGCATAAAAGGGGATGGAGAAGAAATGTTTGGCTCTTGGGTTAGGTCTATAGGGCAGAATTTGGTTTATTCTACACAGAAATTCTCTTTGTAGAGTTTTTTCTTTTGTAAAGGTTTTATTCATTATTAGAGAGAGGGGAAGGCAGGGAGAAAGAGGGGAAGAGAAATGTCAGTGTGAGAGAGAGAAGTCAATTGGTTGCCTCTCATATATACCCTGAGTGGGGACTGAACCTGCAACCCAGGCATGTGTCCTGACCAGGAGTCAAACCAGTGATGTTTCACTTTGCAGCATGATGCCCAACCAACTGAGCCACCCCAGTTAGAGTTGCAGAGTTCTTTTCCGTGTTTTTAAAAGTGACTTACTAGTGGGGTTGCTTTCTTTGTCCTCTTTTGTTTTTAAAAGAGTGAATGAATTAGCCCTGTCCGGGTAGCTCAGTTGGTTAGAGCATCAACCAGATACACTAAGGTTGTGGGTTTAATTCCTGGTCATGACACGTACAAGAATCAACCAAGGAGCCCTGGCTGGTGTGGCTCAGTGGATTGAGTGCTGGCCTGCAAACCAAGGACTCGCCGGTTCGATTCCCAGTCAAGGCACATACCTAGGTGGCAGGCCAGGTCCCGAGTGCGAGAGGCAACCACACATTAATGTTTCTTTCCCCTCTTTCTTAGGAAAAAAACAGTGGATGAATATAAACATTTCTCATTGATTCATTAACAATTTATAATCCATTAAGTGAATAACAGAAAAGAGACCTTGGCTAGAAATCCAGTAAGAAACATTGATTAAAGAAAATACAGAACCTCCAAAGCGTTAACTGCTAGGCCACTCAGAAAAGATTTCTCGAATCTTCTTTTGCATGTCTGTGAACATTTGTAACTGCTTGACTTAGAGAAACTTCGTGAAAGCTTGGAAAGGATGGTGGGGAATTTCAGGCAGAGTTTATCTTCTACATTTTTGTTTTCCTTAGGTTTCAGTTACTCAAAAGGATTTCTGAGTATTAAACTTATTTTTCTTCAAATGTGGTTCACTGTACACAATATCACGGCCTGGAAATCAGGAGGCCCCTCACTCTCCTTTAACAACCTTTATGCCCTGGACAAGACTCAACTTACTAGCCTCTAAAATGAGGTCAAGGTTAGATAATATTGATGGCAAAATGCGTTTCCCAACCCCCCATTCTGTAACTTTGGAAAGCGAGGATAGAAGAAGAATCTCCTTGTTCCTACAGGCCAGCTGTGAGGCGGGCGTGGCGTGGGGCTGGCTCAGGCTCCGCCCAAGGTTCCTGGTGAGGGAGGTGTGGACACGGAAGTTTCTAGGCTGGCCCGGAAGTTTCTAGGCTGGCCCGTTGGTCCCTTACTCCCCTTCCGGGAAGGGCCTGTTCCTGTGGAGCCTCCACAGCACACTCCCCTCTTCCAAAGCCTCGCCCAGGTCGTCCAGAATTAACAGTCTCTGCGTGTGCTGTGTTTGCAGCCTCGCTCTCTCTGAGTGGAGAACTCAAGACTTGGTTCTCAGCCAGCTCACCTAAGATTTGCCCCGAGGTGCCAGTAGGCGGCTCAGGTTTCTCAAGTCCGGGGTATGGACTTGTTGTTCATGCTCCTCCCCTTGGAGGAAGGTTTCCTTCCTCCGTTCTGTCTTCCAGTGTAGTCAGGCCTGAGCATGTACGTATGGAAACATGTCTTCTTATAAATTGCTTCTGTTTCGTTACAGCAGGTGTTTTGTTGACTTTGAAGGCCAGTGTGGGCAGGTGATATGATCTGTGGATTCCACATCAGTGTATTTGGGGGGCAGCATAAATAAAAGGGAGCATCGGCCTGGTGGGGTAGAGACCCCTGGTCTGGACGAAAGGCCCTCCTTGTCTCTCGTGGTTGGTGACACGCGTGTTGGCGTTGATTAGAGCGTGACTTCAACCAGTGGAGATCACACCGCTGTCGGAGAATCTCTGAGTGGGGCCAGACAGGTTTACACCGCGTGCGTGTTTATTAAGCTAGCTCAGATCTCTTTCTAATACGTCATTTACACTTCTTCCCTTTTAAGAAGTCTTTATATTTCAAATTTTACGTGGAAAGCCATAATAACAAGATAAGTATTTTACCACAGTAAACATTTTCTTTATGTTTAGATGCTATTTTAATGAAGCCATAGCAACTTATAATTGCTAGGTCATATATTTTTCCATCCTATGCTGGTGAAGTTGGTAAATGGCAAAGTGGTGGTGCACCCATTTTATATATATATATTTTTTAAGATTTTATTTATTTATTTTTAGAGAGGGAAGGGAGGGAGAAAGAGAGAGAGAGAAACATCAATGTGCGGTTGCTGGGGGTCATGGCCTGCAACCCAGGCATGTGCCCTGGTTCGGAATCAAACCTGTGACACTTTGGTTCACAGCCTGCGCTCAATCCACTGAGCTACGCCAGCCAGGGCTAGCATTTTAAATAGAAGAAACAGGAGTCAAAAGTTGTCATGACAGCACAGTGAGGACCCCCGCCTCTCCAGAGGCGTGTGTGAATATGCAGTGGCCGAGTGTGTTAGATGTGCATGTGTAACAATGTGGTTAGTTTGCCCTGTACCTTACCCAGATGTCAGGATGTCTGGGTGGGGAGTCGGGTGAGCTCAGCTTCCCGAGTTTCTCTCCCCAGGGTCTCAGGCTGGCAGGACGACACTGCTGTTGAGGTTGGGGGCTGCACCCTGGGAAAACACGCGAGAACAGACGGCGTGGTTTTCGGGGCTCATCTCACGGGGCACATTCTTCCCAGCGCCTTTTCCCCCACCCAGTCTAGGAGATCCGTGTGGATCTCAGGAGCCTCCGGTTAAGCATAGAATCAACTCTGACTGTGTGGCTCAGTTGATGTTGTTCTGAAAAGCAGAGTGTCGCTGGTTCAGTTCTGGTCAGGGCACCTGCCTGGGTTGCAGGTTCAGTCCCCGGAGGGGTGTGTGAGAGACGCAAAGGATTGATGTTTTTCTCTCATACTCTTTCTCCCTCCCTCCCTTCCCTCTCTCTTAAAAAAAAAAAAATAGAATCACATGTGCAAGGGTCTAATCTCTGCTTTTAACAATGACCTTAAGAAGAATATAGGATGGGCTTTAACCCAGGGAATAAATATTTTTACAATGTTTCCTTGTTTAATCACATCTGTTCCTTATTCTAAATATTTGTGGTGGCCATGACAGGTACTATTAATATCTTTCAATGATGACCGAGTGCACTAATGAGTTGTGGGTAGAGTATGAAGAACTAGTGTTGAGCTAAAACCCTGGCTGTGGACTCTTCCCCCTGCAGTTTCTCAGAAGAGGGTGGATTGTGTTTTCCTTGAATAGTTGGATCAGGAGTGGGCCAGATCACCTGTCAGGCCCCCTCTAAATATGGGTTTTGATCATTTCGTGTCCCTCTTTAGTTCCAGTCTGATCTTTTATATAATCTGAGGTAGATACAGCAATCTCCTGAGCTGTTGTTACTCATAAGTAATATTTGTGATGCTATTAACTAACAGTTTCCAGATTTCCCCAAAATTCACGATCGCAAGCCAGTCACCTGTGTCTCTCTCAGGGACTTTCATTTCCTGCCCTCATCTCTGTGGGGGTTGAGGGGCTCAGTTAAGGTGATTAATCTTGAAGTTCTCTCTGCCTTGTGCCTCAAGAGCAGACTGATTTTCAGTTTTGTTTTAAATTTCCACCTAAACTAAAAAGTATGCTCTATACAGAACAGCATGGACCAATATTCTCCCACTCAGCTCTTCTATAAAATGTGCTCTTTGGGGCGCTCTTCCTCTCGGGGCAAGCCCACGGCCCTTCCCTCCTTTGCCCTTCCCTCCCTCCTCCTTCCCCCAGGCGCCTTTTCCTGGCATTTCTCGCCCCTGAGCTCCAAGGGCCCCTCTTTTGCTTGAGCAGCTTGTTTCCTGAGCCCACACAGCCGACCTAGCTCACTTCTACTACCTCTGTAACTTTCTAAATACTCCCTTAGCTTATAATTTGAAAATAAAATAAAATGTTCTCTTTCTGAGCACTTACATGATTTCTCTTTTCTGGTGAGCAAGAAAGCTTAAGATCGTATAGTGAGCACAACCTAACTTCAACTTGACTGTGTCCACAGCACCAGGTAACTTAGAAAATGGAAACCCCTTGATGCGCCAGCCTGCGAGTGTCACGGGACTGTGGTACAGTGGGCTGAGGTTCTCGAACGAGCGAGCATTAATGGGCCGGTGTAAAATACTCTCGTGGTACGGTGTAAAGTGTTAGAAGAATTAAAAAAAAATCACTAAATGTACTACTGGCAATATCGCCTCCCTACCTGAACATCTCTGCAGAAGGCAAAGAGAACAAGTTTATTTTGGGGTGTGTGTATGTGTGTTTTACATAAAAGTTTTTCCAAGTACAGTTGACATTCAATATTAATTTATGTTAGTTTCAGGTGTATAGCATTATGGTTGGAGAATTATATGCGTTACAAAGTGGTTCCCCTGATAATTCCAGTAGCCACCTGGGACCATACATACTTATTACAGTGTTACTGACTATGTATTCCCTCTGCTGTACTTTATACCCCGTGATTAGTGTGTAACCACCAATATGCACTTCTCAGCCCCTTCACCTTTTCACCCTCAGTTTGCTCTCTGTCTATGCACCTGTTTCTCTCTTTTTTTTTTTTCGTTTTTTAGATTTCACAAATGACTGAGATCATACGGTATTTGTCTTTGTCTGTCTGACTGACTTCTCTTAGAACAATACCCTCTAGATCTATTCATGTCATTACAGGTGGTAAGATTTCATGCTTCTGTATGGCCAAGTCATAGACCATTGAACACATGCCTACTTCTTCAACCACTCATGTGTTGACGGGCACTTGGGTGGCTTCCACATCTTGCCTATTGTATGTGTTGTATATAGTGCTGCAATGAATGTAGGGTTACATATATATCTTTTCCAATTAGTGTTTTGGATTTCTTCAGCTA